TCGACCTTCGCGGTGAAAACAGAAATTTCAAATGATCAACATTGATAACTAATTAATCAATACAAAGTATAAAAAGGTTGACAACCGCAAAATCTCAGTTATTATAAGGGCTTTTCTTAAATTAAAACTTAACAAACTACAAACATTTGCCTTTTTTTAAAAATTCATTTCACTTTGGAAAGAGCTTTCAATCTGGTTATCATAATATAAACACCTGTTAATTCAAAATACAAAAAGGGTCTACAACTAAAAAATGTGAGCTATTTTATGGATTTATTTCAATGACACAAGTCCAAACAACTCATTGGAAATGCTGTTAAAATAAGAACTAAAAACACTACGAATTTTTGCCAATTTGTTGATTTTCTTTCTCTTTTTAGAACTCTTATCAACGCTGGAAACAAACGCCTCTTAATAAAATACATACTTAGAGCGATTTTCTGGACTTTTTTTGTGAGTGCTCCTGTTATTAAAACTTAAAACCATTAAAAACCTTTACGTTAAAATGAAAGGAAATTCAAGCTATAAAAAGGCCAAAAATATTGTTTTTAACTACATTCCTGATAAAAACCTACAAATTTGAGCCTTTTTCAGAATATTTTTCATTGGTTACTGGTGTGACCATAAAACAAACGCCGGTTAATTTAAAGCATATATAGATGTAAAATTGCAAAATGTGAGCAATTTTCTGGACATTTTTCATTGTGAGGCCTCCTATAAACTTCTGTCATTCCCTTGCAAAGGCTTTCCTTAAAATAAAAAATAAATAAATAAAAACCACGGACTTTTCCTGTTTTGTTGATTTCGATTTCGTTCCGACAGCTCCTTTTAACTCCTGCCACACAAATACAAACACTATTTAGTTTACAGTATATAATTTGAGGGATTTTGTGGATATTTTTCTTTGTAGCAGCTCTTTTTTGTAAATTTTAGACCCAATCAAAGTATTTGTACTCACTCAAAGTGTTAATAAGTATTTTAACTTAAAATAAGATCTAAAAAGCTATGAAATGTTTTTGTTAAACAAACGAAACTCCTTTTCCTTCCTGTCATCCCAATACTACCTGTTAATTACAAGTAAAATGTAATTCTTTTAAAGTTAGGGCTGCATTATTTTTAGCTTTTCTCCAGTTATTCTCGATTTTCTTTTCCTTTTGAAAGCTCGTTTTAACTCCTCTCACCTAAACACAAACGCTCTTTAATTTAAACTATAAAAAAAGTTGTAAATTGCAAAATTGAGGGATTTTCTAGACATTTTTCATTATAGCAGCTCTTGACATCCCGTTGGAATGTCTTTCCTTAAAATAACGGTTAAAAAACTACGAATTTTTGCCATTTTGTTGATTTTCCTTTTCTTTCGAAAACTCCTAAAAATTCCTAATTCAATCGTCTATTAATTAAAAGTTGAAAAAGGTCAAATATTGGAAATTAGAGTGATTTTCTGGATTTATTTTTCATTGTGAGGACTCTTATAAACTTCTGTCATTTTCTTGGAAAGGCTTCCTTAAAATAAAACATGAATAAATAAAAACTAGGACTTTTCCTACTTTGTTGGTTTCAATATCCTTCCGACTGTTCCTTTTAACTCCTGTCACCCAAATACAAACACTTTTTTTTTATTTTAAAGTATAACAAATGTGGAAAATTGCAAATTTGAAGGATTTTCTAGACATTTTTCATTATAGCAGCTCTTGACATCCCGTTGGAATGTCTTTCCTTAAAATAACGGTTACAAAACTACGANTTTTTTAAATAATTTTTTTATTATAATTATATTATGTTTTTAAACTGTATAATGCTATCTGTACGACATATTATCTACTTAATAGCTACTTTATTAAGCAATTTAACTACAAATGTTTATGCAGAAATAACAGCCATTTGACGGTGAAAGTAATGTTTTTTAAATAAATTTTATTTAATTACATCGTTATTACTCTTACTATTCTAAACTTTGTATCATTATCAGTATATCTCATAGGTACATTTATGTTATTATTTAATTATTATTATTACTTTAACGGAGATTGTATTTATTATTAATTATTTTTGGCATATTGAGATATTTTCTGTGCAACCGTGTTATTTGCTTCTATTTTGGATATTTATAAACTAAAAATAATTTATGTACAACTGTTATTTACAAAAGTGAAGGGGAAAAAAACATTAAATATAAGAAATAAAAGGCCACAAATATCCAAAATGGTTCGTTCGTAATATTCGTTTGATAATGTTAGAAATTGTATATAAACTATCTACTCTTATAAATGGAAATGTTAGGTTACATTATAAGTTATACATAAATCCTACAATAATTACTCCTAAAAATATATGTATAATATGTATACAGGACTGTACAATCGTGGAGGAAAAATCCTATCATGCAAACATCACTATGTTCTTTAATATTTTTAATATGAAATTAAAATATGTATTTAAATTTTTTTATGGTTTATTATATGGATTTTAACGAGCTTGTCTAACTTTATATTTTTTGACGTCTGTTTTCTGTAGAGGTTCAGTAAATATAACGTACTGAGGAAAAGGCTGAGTGCCTTGAAATCTATTGAACAATAAAATTATTTTAAGAAATATATAAAGTTGGATAAGTTCAACATTCATTAAAATTCATGAATATGTAAAGTTACATATCTTTGTAAATAATCGTAAAAAAAGTAAATAAAAGTATACCTCTACGAATGGAAGGAATATGAAAGTGTCTCGGAAGTATTAAATATATTTTCCAATTCCGTTATCTCTCGTTAATTAGTTTTTTTAAAATTGTAAAAATGTTTTTCCGCAAGTCAAATGTCTCGGGTTTATGTTTCCACCAATTTTTAACACAAATTTTCAACCGGTTCCACATGGAAAAGGCCCGTTGGCATTGTGCAAGCAAGGGAGAGCTTATTGCTCTATAAGTTGCGCTTTTTTTTTCATCCCCTTCGTACAATTAACATTTATATTTCTTCCTTTCCCTGAATTAAGCGATAATGAAAAGCGGCAGCCCCGGCGAGGACCATGAGAGCAATGAAAAAAATAATTAAATTCCATTTCGCGTATTTCAAACATTTCCACGGGGCTTTAATAAGTCTCTTCTCTCGTAAGTATTGCGATTTTTTTTCTTTTGTAGTTGTAAACGGGGAAAACTGTGACAATGGAATGTTTATTTCAAATAAAGGAAATATGCAAGGCACGCTTTTTCTTTATTAAATGGCAAAGTAATAATAATTTGATGTATCGGACCTGGGCGCAGTCTTGAGGCATGGCGGCGGGCACAGATCGCTGAGGTACCTCAGGGCTATAGGGATTTTTAAATCTAATATTGTTTGTACTGTGTTTATGTTATTTATAATATATAATTTATTAAAAAGATGTAATTTATTAGCGTCAAAGGAAGGGTTTGCTTAACTCCGCTTCTAGGAATATCGAGTACTCTGGGATGAGTGACCGGAGGGAAAAAGCAATTTATTAGCGTGAATGGAGGGTTTAATCCCGCCCCGATTGATATCAAGTACTCTGGGGAAGTGAAGTTGACCAAACTTCTACGTTTGTATCGGATGTTGTAATTATATTAATTTATTGGAATGAATGTAACTTATTAGCGTGAAAGGAAGGGGTTGTTCAAACGTGATGTATATATAATATTTTGAATTATTCGTTTTAATTTTTTGTGTATATTGTACAGTTGACAACTTTAGGTGCAATGAGAGGTTAGTATTTTATAATATCGACTTAGTTTTCATATGAAAGCAAAGAGTCGGTAACCGATCGAGACGCTCGAATGGCCGCAGGTTGAAAGATACGCGCGGAGTACCAGAAAAAGAAGTGAAAACAAATTCTCCTAAACTTCCCAAATTATTATTTAAACATATTTACACGGTGCGTTAATAAGTCTTGCGTAAGTACTGCGCATTTTTTTGATGTGAGGTGACTGTGACGACGGTTTATTTCAAACAAAGGAAATACACCAGGCATGCATTTTCTTTTATTAACTATTTAATCGTTAAAACTTGTCTTTGCCAAAAAGAATACCCTGAGTACACGGAAATTGAAATTAATTTTTGATTCTTGTTCTACATCGAATTTTACAATGATGAAGCTCAGTCATAACACAATGTTTCGTTCAGAGCTATCAATTATGATTGTTTGTATAAATTTAATCAATTTTTTTGGGGGGAAGAGTTGAGGGTTTACAATACGCCAATATAATAAAACAATATATTTTTAGATTTTAAATTTTTGATCAACATCTCATGCCATTTATCGAAAATGCAGTTTCTAAAAAGTATCATTATTTAGAGTGGTTTTGGATTCATTTTTTTTATCTAACAAAAAATTAATCTACGCCACTAACAAATATGTGCGGGGTGTTTCTCAAGTTTTGATCACCGCTTTTTCCAGTCGTACTGAAAAAATTCATGCTCTGAACTTTTGAACCGAAACTTTTATTTCTTAGGATAATTTATGAGATCTTTTATCGCGATAAATTCGAACAATTAGTATAAATATACAAAAATCCTCTTTGTACACATACGTTCAGGGGACGTTCCATATTTTTTAGATTTTTTTTTTCAATTTGACGTTGCCCAGTAACAGAGCCAAAAATCAAATCAATGGTGTGCAAAAAATCTATGGAAGCTGTTTGTGACATTGGCAGAGTTTTTCCTGTATCTCTCAGGGGATCATTTAACTTCGCGATTATCCCACAAGAGGAGGATGAGCATAAATCTCAAATCTAGGAGATCGTTGTGAAAAAATTTCAGGCTTGGTTTAAAAAATGTTGCCTTTTAAAAAAAATATATAACGCATACATCAGCCAATTTTTTTATATAATAGTAGCAATCATGCCCAATAGCAATGTGATTTTCAATTTACAACTATGATTAAATCTAATAGTTACACTTAGTGTTTATTTTAATAGTTATTAAATTTCATATAATACACTTGTTCTTTTACATAATATATATATATAATCTTTTATACACTTTTCGATACACCATATCTGTACAAAAATCTCTTTAAAATAATAACAAACCCAAAACAATGGAAAAAAGGGCTGGCGTGGTCAGCAACAGAACGAGGACAAGAGATCGTATAAAATTTCGGTCGTTCAGGGATTTATGAAAGGTGGGAGGAAGTAGAAGGAGGAGTAAGGGGGCGAGGTTAGTCTGGATCACTCGGAATAGGACGTCCGATCGCTGGCGGAACCGGGGGATGAAGTGGCCGGCTTCTCCGGGGGGAAAATCGGAGTCGGATGGGGGTGGAATTCGGATTGGGGACGGATCACAGTTGGAAAGTAACCCCCGCCTCCGTAGGGTGCACCGCTCAGGAACCTTCTGCTTCTGCTCATCACCCCGAGTGGTGAAAAGGCAGACCTAGCAGGCTCCTCCATCTGCCCTTCAGTGCACACCTGGAACAGATAGAACAAACTCTCGTTATATACACTTAGAGATTTGGCGTAGTGGATTAAAGGATTATTTTATGTAACTGAGACGAATAATATTAAAGCTAGCGATAAGATTCGATTACAGTTTTCGCTTACGAGAAAGAGAAAAGAAGCTGGACAAACGCTATGACAGCAAAGACCTCTCAGGTTTAGCAAAGCCCCGAGTAATGCCTCCTGATTGCTTTTTTTTATGAAGTATAAGATCAACATGTCACGGATACTTTGTGTTAATCAACTTAAGTAAAAATAAAACTACAATAATCACCTCGATTCAAGAGCACTGTCAGAGGTGGCCGGAGGATCTGACTCGTAGAAGAACGGTCATTCTCACCCGATTAATGATAGGCCATGCGAGATTGACACACGGGCACTTTTGGGCCTAAGCCAGCTTATGTGTCCGGCATGTAGGGAAAGGTTTCTCGATGTGTCCACTTGATTAAAAGGCGTAATTCCTTGGCTCTACATAGAGAGCGTGTAGGAATGCAACCCTATATTAAGAATCGTGCTTGATCACAGCAGCGAGTATCTGGGTACTCTGTTCCGATTATTGGAGGAAAGAGGGTTGTTTTTTAGTATATAGTGCTGATAGTTTTGTATCCCTAGTGTGTGCTAGAGTGAATGCTATCGATTTTATTGGCGTGAATGTGTAGTGCGAGATGAACAATGGTCGAATATGAGTACCCCGTCTACACTCAACTACTTTAGCTATATAATAGGTGTAAAGGGTGATGGAAGAATATCGAGTACGCTGGGGTGAGTGTGTGGCATCTGGAGAATAAAAGTAAGCTATTAGCGAGAATGGCCTGGGTTCGACCTCGCCCAGAGGAGTATCGAGTATTCTGGGTGAGTATGTGACTTCTATATCGAAGAATATCGAGTGAGTACTTACACCCTGACTGAATGGTACGTAAATAAGTAAGTATGTATTTAAGAAGGAGTGAGAGTGTAATGTGTTTGGAGTTAGGAACTGGTTGTGTTGGGAGCTGAAATGACCTAGCAGTTGGTAGCCCCGGAGTCCAACATCGCCATAGATAAGACTGACTTCTGACCCTGGACTGCCAGCACCCAGGGCGGTGATTCGCGAGGCCTGCCGGTAATTTATTGCTAATCACAAAAGTGGAATGTTCGGTGGACTACGAGAAGTGATAGACTCAACTCTGTACACGTGTGTATGTATGTGCATGAACTCTGTACACGTGTGTATGTATGTGCATGCATGCGCAGATTTATATAAATCAGTAATCGGTAAGATAATCACCATTAGTTCGATCGCCTGAAGGACGTCTCCTTTGGCCCTGTGCAAAGCGGCTTCGACGTCTCCTCTTCTCCGGTTGGGGAACACTCTGAGGAGGATGTCGACGGGTGACCTGTGGACCGAGGGCGGCGGTGGCGTGTAAGGATAATAGGAGTGGTAGGCCGTTGTGCTCACCCCCACGACGGGAGGAGAGTCTCCCCTGTAAGCTTTCGGGAGTGAAAGATTTTCCGGGCCGATTTCACCGTCGCTTTCACTGCTTTCCTCCTGAAACAGTATGAAAAAATAAAAAAGACTGGTCACTACCGATATGATTGGCAGGAAGACTGATGAGAACCTAGTCTACCAATAGGATGCTACTTTTACCTCCACATTAAATCAGAATTTGTTTTAAAAAGGAAATTCTTATTGTGCAGGAGAGGATTTATTTCTTAAATAAGAGTGCACCAGCTTGATGCTGGGAATTTATACCTTATCAGCCAGTACACTATTCCCTCCAGCCAAATGGTATTAAAAGACAATTCTGGACATAGGACATTTTAACCAGCAAACTAACCAACTGGCCTGTTGTGACGAGACCAAGGCGGAATCCGAACTGTTTTTCCTGCATGTTGCCATTTAGTGCAATATGCAATATATGCATGATATTATTTAGTGCTCCAGAAGCAGAGCCTGGCGGTCTTCCATTTTTGATGAAACATCTGGGAATCTATTATCGTTCTTAATTGGCCCTGCCACACGTGGTGAAAAGGCTCTACAACTAACCTAAGTTTGGCTGGTTTCAGGGTATTGGATATTCCGCTGAGGATCCACCATCAATCACGCTAATAAATACATTCACTAAAAACGGAGGCACTGGGATTTACGACGATAGTTTTGTTACAAAATTAACTTAGGTTGATGGATCCGTATTCCACCACAGGCACAAAAAAAAATAAACATTCAATCTAATATATACATTCATACAATACAGATAAAATTTGGGAGAATAACTAGTCTAATTAGGTGGGTCTATGTAATACGCCACAAACCACCCACACATACACAACTCACTCAGCCGATCACGCTAATAAGTACATTTAATCAGGACGATAAAATAACTAACCTAGTTTGGTGGGCCTTTGGGTTACTGTATATCTCCTACAAATCCACACATTCACTCAAAACACTCACGCTAATAAATTTTCGTTCCAGATATGAAAAAAGACGCGTTGAAACCATCAAATGCGACCCGCTTCAGGTATGTCAATGGATGTGTCTTAGAATGTCTGAGATTCATGGACAGGTTGACACCTTGTGAATTATACATCTCGGTGGTCTTTTGTTAATTAGTTAGTTAGCCTGGTGTGGCCAAGTCATAATCGGGCCATTATTGTCCTTTGTTTTTTTGTTGTTGTTCATGCTCTCGATGGACCAACGGTTTGTATGTACATAATTAATTTATTTAGTAAAATTCTCTAATACGAACTACCTTCCGTAGAACGAAAAATTAAACGATTTAAAAACATGTAGATAGTAAGAACACTCGACCTTCAGTCGTTTTTCTCCATGACAACGCAAAAATTATTTTGGTGACGTGACAAAAATTGGTGCCCAATGCGTATGCACCAAATTTTTCGGCCAACGAGCCTTGAGATTTTGTCTACTTCGAAATTATTTAAACAAAAATGCTTTGTCAAAACGAAAATCGAAAGCAGAAGTGAGATTTTCAGATATTTTTTTCGATTAAAAGCCTGAAAATTGCAGTTATAAATATTGTTGTATTTTTACACGGTTTTATACTGACAAAATTGCAATTTTCATGTTGGTTGGTTAGGAAAGAAAACCCCAAGTATTTCCTAGCGTAAATATTTATTTTATTTTTGACGTTTCGGACTCATTGGCTCATCTTCATCAAGTCAAAAGGGTCTCATGTTCCTGTATTTGGCCTTTCGATTTAATTAGTTTTGTAAGCCGATTCGCATTTTTTTCAAAGAACAACATTGTAATTTATACTTTGGGCTTTACGAGCGCTCACATCGAAGCATTTAATTTTCATTATAGCCTTTTGTTTCACTCCCGGGTAAATGCCTTTTTAAGTGCCATTGAGCAATTCACTTGCTTTTGATAAGATTTTGAGATATTGCTTCTTGAATCTTCTGTAAATCATGGAATCTTGGTTGTTTTCAAAGTGTCATAATTTCAAATCGTCTACCATTGAATAGAGCAAAACTGTAGTCATTTGGGGCGACGTCAGCGGGACTAGGCCAACTTCTTGCATTTCTCCATATTTTATCTCCTTCTTATCTTGGTGCAAATTTACTTAATTTGGTAAAAAGCTAGCTACTACCCTCCACATTGAGTAATAAAGCTGCCAATAGCCAAGCCAACTGCCAACAAGCTCAACGTATTTTGCTTACATCTTTTAGATAGTCTCTGGTGCTTGGGCTTACATTTCTACTAACATTCCATAAGAATTTTTTAAAAATAATTTGAATTCAATGACAGTAATACACTTTGGTTTGAAGTTTCGTCAAATTCAAAGTGCCGACGTCTGGTGGCATAAATGGGTTGAGGCAAGATCGTCGTCCTACGTCCTTCAGAAAGAAGGTCTTGAGACGCTTTGTAGCATTGTAAGGATGGGGTCTGTTGAACAAGTTTCTGGTAAGACAATAGGTTCGATGGGAGAGTAAAGTTGTTGGAGGGTAGTATTGGATACATAATATAACTAATTTGAAATTGATCTAAAATATTTAAGTTGAAAAGATCGGAGACTTGGGTATTAGAAGGCAAACCTGATTACTTCGGGTTGACTGTGGGCAGAAATTTAAGACTGGCGAGAAACAGAAAGCAAACGAGCTTTTCCGTGTGGGACGAGAAGTTGAACGCAACAGCGATAAATGTTTCAATGTCTGCTCAGAGAAAAGTAATGTTGAAGACGACTAGGCCTATAGAACGGAACCGAAGACGGCGAGCCATATGGCAACTCATCCTGGAATACCAGCGGGCACCGTCAGATAGATAGATGAATGGATCATAAGGCAGTGGAAAGAAAGATGGGACGCCTCTCAAAAAAGCATGCCAGAAGGATTAAAACCAAATCGGCCAGTGTCTCGCCTAGTTGCTTACGGGGAAGGGGATTTTGCTGGGAAGTTGTGCCAGTTTCGCCTGAAGGATTCGTTGCAGGTGTGGTGAAAATGAAATGGCCTTGAATGTGTACTTGAATTGCTCCTTATGTAATAAACTTCGCCATGAATGGCTTGAAGCCATAGGTGAACGCATGGCCAAGTCGGGGTGGGTGAAAAATGTTATGTACGCAAGGGATTGGCATGGTAAGTATGAAGGAACCTCACATGTCCTCCCATCCTGTCTGGACGCTTCCGCGAGGCCCATCCTGGGAGCACCATTAAGCGTTGCGAAGTTCCGTCGTTCTATGAGGAACGACCGGTAGGGTAGGAAGAAACAGAAAAAATAACCTACAAAAGCCCTCTGTTGGGCGAAAATATAGGCTGGAAACAAGGACCAGCCGGAATTGGAAGGTTTACCTGTTCCCTACAGTTCTGTACTGTATCTGTAGTAGCGATTTGCAGATAGTAAGTTGGTTTTTCGTCCATTGTTTGAATTATTGCAGAACATAAGTTTGTAGAGCAGACCGTAGGTCTTATAGTTTCAGCTGCGTATGCTGATGCCATGTTAAGCATGAGTCTAGATGAAACCCAAGGTAACGGAGATTGTGAAAGGAGATTAGCTTCGGAGTATAAAAATGTCATGGACGAACTTGCTTTCATTGAGCTTCATTTTTCCATTCCACCAATGAGAAGTAGTTGCTACTGCAGAAGTAGTTGTACGATCGGGGTCAGAGGAGATTGCGTGTAGTAGAGGCATCTGCAATATAAAGGATTGGTCCAAGCACATTGCCCTGGAGTACTCCCGCGGCCAGAGAGTAGTCGGAATAATCTGATCTTTTTCGAACCAGAAAGAACCCCTCTGATAGGGGCACCTTGGGCCACACGCGATCGAAATCAATAGAGATTTCCATACACACTTTTTAAGCTCAAGAGAAGTTAACCTAAAAGATCTAAAAACAAGGATTGGAAAGTTGTAAGTTTATTTTTCGTCGATCGCTTGAATTGTCGTCCAGTCTGTACAGTAGACCATAGGTCTTGGAGTTTCAGCCGCCTATGAACCCAAGTTAACGAACTCAGTCAGATTTGAAGAATAGAAACATTATTTTAGAAGATTGTTAAAGGAGTTAATTTTCTATAAACGAGATATGTTTCTGCAGACTATCTTGAACCATTGTAGGTTCAGGGTCAGAGTGGTACTCGGAACGGTGCGTGTAGTTGGGATATTTGCGGTACGAAGGATAAGAGATTGCTCTAAATACAATACTTTGCCCTGCGGTACTCCCAAGGACTGGAGGCCAGTATTTAGGAAGGACACGGTTTAATTTGTACAAGCGACCTTAGTGAGACATCTCTGACACAAAGTATTCACCAAGTGGCATGTTTGGCCTTATGCATCGAGCATGATCTGGGCAAGTAGACTGAGGCTCATCTTAAAAACTCATCAGCATTCAGTAAGGTAATTCTAAACCATTGTAGAATCGGGGTCAGAGTGAAAGAACGGTAAGTGTAGTTTGGACATTTGCTGTATAAACATTGTATATACATATATTTTTAGGATAGTAGGATTTATGCATAAGTTATAATCTAACCTAACATTTCCATTTATAAGACTAGATAGTTTATACACAAATTCTAATATTATCAAGCGAATATTACGAACGAACCATTTTGGATGTGACCTTTTATTTCTTCTCCTTCACTATTGTAAATGCCACTTGTACATAAATTATTTTTAGTTTATAAATATCCAAAATAGAAGCAAAAAACATTGTTGCAATGAAAATATGTCATTATGCCAAAATAATTAATAATAAATACAATCACCGTTACACTAATAACAATAAAATAATAAATGTACCTATGAGATATACTGATAATGAAACAAGAAGATAAAGAATAAGAGGGTCGGTCCAAGCACACTGCCCTGCGGTACTCCCGTGGCCACAGAACAGTATTTAGGAAGGACAAACTTTTTTTTAAATTACTGATCGTTATTAATAAGTAATAATAAACAGTTCTGAACAATAAAGACACAGACAAAAAATTTTGCGTCAAGAAGTTCTGCTTTAAAATAATGCAACCTTCCACTGCAACTGTTTTTTTAATTGCCGATTTGATACTTAGTCTTTTAAGAAGTCTTTTCAGAGGATCTTCGGAAGAGGTCGAAACAGAGAAAACTTCCTTACGGTTTTACAGTTTTATACTGTCATCTTCAGGGCTTTAAAACCTTAATAGGAAATTAAACAACATGGTGTTTTGGGCACAGAAGTACATTATGTTTTTTGGGGCTCAGCATCTGTTTTATTGAAGTTCGATGAAAATGTAACGATGAAACTAGATTATCGACCTGCTGGATACAAGAAGTCTTTTCAGAGGATCTTCGGAAGAGGTCAAAACAGAGAAAACTTCCTTACGGTTTTCGCCGAGCTTTCGACAGTATCTTGTATCCAGCAGGTCGATAATCTAGTTTCATCGTTACTTAGTCTTTTTTTTTATTAAAATTGTCTCAGGAAGGGGGAATTGATAAAGTAAACAGTTGAATAAAAATACTAACTAAAATAAGAGTATAGTCTTGACATTATTGATGGTTTCGTGCATAAGGACCTTTTTTAAAGGTCCTTTCTTCTATTTGCCACGATGACCGTTACGGCAGATAGTTTTTTTCTCAATATTCACAGTTAATTTGACTTATGAATGGAATAATTGTTAAAGGTGAAAGGAATAAAAATGAAATTACCTTTGGTTGGAGGAGAGAGGGTCGTGGGTGTTCGGGTGGCGTGAGTGGTATGGCTTGTTCTTGGAGAGGCGACCGTGGTTTCGGTTCTGAGTCTTGTTCGTTTCCCTCGATGTCGTCCTCCCCTGTCGCCGACAGCCTCGGCCTCTTCACCCCTGCAATCATTACGCCGGTTGAACATCAAAAGTTTGTTGCATCCGCAAATTGATCAACCGTATAACAGACGGTTCTAAACTCTATTTCTTCCTTTCGCTCGCTCACTCTCTCTCTTTTTCACTCGCTCTCTCTTCCCCCCTTTTTTTCTTTAATTCTGCCCATTGTCATTCCTACGACCTTTCTCATCCACTCACTCCTACAATAGACTAATTCAATTCCCTTTGCCAATCTAATTTCCTTCGCCGAGCGGCGATACTTGCACAATCCTCTTTTTGCTGCTGCTTTAGAGTTTGAATCAATCATAATAATAACAAAAAGGGAATCAGTGAAATCGGGCAATAATTAATTAAATACGTTGTAAAAATTAATGTAGTAATTCTTTAGCAAGAAACGAAATAGTTTCTGTTTAGACATCTGAAGATGTTTATTTTATATGTGATACTAACATCCCACCCAAACCAGAACATGTTAACGCATTGTATAATATACAAATTGAAGGCAATAATCGTGGCCGATACTGAAATAGTAAGGCAAAAAAAAGTGATAATCACCTCCGTGCAGTGCCCGAATTTATCTTACGATGGATCACAAAAATCGTTTCATTCTGACAAAATTCTAAAATAGTCACATACAATTTTTTGATTGTTAGGTTCTTTCCGAGATTTATTGTTTAGCTGACTGAATGTATTTAATTAATTAGAGCGCAGATTTTGATAATATATTGAAATCGAGGTCAGTCTATTTCGATTGAATTTCGTGTGCTGTCATTTTGTGCTAATTATTGTCTGTTTATCACCGGGGTTAGTAAATGTGTAATTTTTTCAAAAATACCAAAAATTTTGGTGCAAATTCAGGGAAGCTGAGATACGAACTGGGCCAGGTCCAGTTAGAATTGCTTTACTATTTATTATTTAAATTAAATTAATTATTTACGGTATAAAATCAACTTTACTATCAGAGGAATTGTATTTTTTTTATTTAACATAACAGAATACAATTCTTCTCATTGTATTTAAGTAATTCCTAATCTAATTTCTCACAATGTATTTAAGAAACTCCTTACTTACGTTTTCCTAATGTATTTACCAATTCCTAACTTAATTTCTCCTAATCTATTTAAGCAAATTCTCCTAATGTATGATGCAATTCTTTACTTGATTTCTTCTAATGTAGTCAAACGAATTCTTACTTAAATTTTCCTAATGTATTTAAGCAATTAATAATTTAATTTCTTATAATGTATTTACACAAATTCTTACTTAAATTCTTGAATTTAAGCAATTCCTAACTTAATTTCTCCTAATGTATTTGTACATATTCTTACTTTAATTTTCCTAATGTGTGATGCAATTCTTACTTCATTTCTTCTAATGTATTCAAACGAATTCTTACTTAAATTTTCCTAATGTATTTAAGCAATTAATAATTTAATTTCTTATAATGTATTTACACAAATTCTTACTTAAATTCTCCTAATGTATTTAGGCAATTTCTACCTTAATTTCTCCTAATGTATTTGTACATATTCTCATTTCAAGTCTCTTAATGTATTTAAGCAATTAATAATTTAATTTCTTATAATGCATTTAAACAAATTCTTACTTAAATTCTCCTAATGTATTTAAGCAATTTCTACCTTAATTTCTCCTAACGTATTTGTACATATTCTCAGTTCAATTCTCCTAATGTATTTAAGCAATTCCTAACTTAATTTCTCCTGAAAAATTAAGTAATGTAAATTAAGTAAAAAATTAAGTAAACCTTTCCTTCAAAATTAAACAAATTTTCACCTAAATTCTCCTGATGTATTGTGCAATTCTTTACTTAATTTCTCTAATGAATTTAAAAAATTCCTTACTTAATATCTCGAAATGTATTTAAGCAATACCTAATTTAATTTCCCCTATTGTATTTAAACAAATTCTTACTTAAATTTTCCAAATGTATTTAAGCAATTCTTTACTTCATTTCTCCTACTGTATTTGAGAGTTCGTAATTTAATTTACTTAATTTTTCCTACTGATTTTAAGCAACTCCTTACTTAATTTTCCCTACTGTATTGGAGCAATTCTTATATCTAATTTCTGCTACTATATTGGAGCAATTCTTATATCTAATTTGTCCTACTGTATTTGAGCAATTCCTAACTTAATTTACTTAATTTCTCCTACTGTATTTAAGCAATTCTTATATCTAATTTCTGCTACTGTATTTGAGCAATTCATTACTTAATTCTTTTGACTTTATTTAAGCAATTCCTATTATTATCCTACCTAATTAAACTGGTTGCTAAATTCTGTAATTTTTACATGTCATTATTAATTTAAATCTCTACCCTGCCGACAAAAACAAAGGATTCGATTTTCCTCATTGAAAGACGACAGCCGAAAGCTAAAAAAAGAGATTGTGAATCAAACAGTTCACATGTGTGTATTATTAAATGGACGCGAGAATAAATTTGACAAAGGAAGGGTCGGACTGCAGACTCTTTACCACTCGACACCTCTTCCAATATCAACCAACCCCCGGATATTATCTCGCTAATCCGGAACAAGAGAAACTCTTGTCTTCAATAAAAGTTCTGTTTTATTGTTGTGACACTCAACACCACGAGGAAAAAACCTAATCCGGGCGGGCCAGCCCTTTCTGTTTAAGAGAAATTGGATAACCGAGTCGGGGGCTTTGTTCTCAACGCCGCAACACGTCGCACTGGGAGGAATGAATTGTTTTTACTCTAGAAAACGAAGAAAAAAAGGTCAAATTTGAGAGATAATACATTTTCAAAAACCACTGGCAGAAACCCTTACGCATGGGCCTTCAAACCGCTTCCATTCAAAACTAAGCATTAGAGTAATATAAAATTAACAAGCGAAATTTGGAATTGGCCCAGTACAAGGAAAAGAAATCAGTAATTTCATGACATCTGATTAGTTATTAAAAAAATTTGGATTAAGTACAAAGGTAGCTTCAACGTGGAGAACCAACTTGCAAAACGATGATGGATCAAGTGTCTCTTGAGTAGTCGATGATGATGAATCACCAATGAAATTAATGTACGATTAGTTTGCTATCGCGGTTTATCCACAGATAATTTGGTTTCCTCAATATCCGGCTTAGGACGTACCTGTATGTCATAGGGCATAACTGTCCAAGCCAACAGACAAAAACAACGAGTATAGGCAGACTATGAAATAAAAGGGATGTTTTAATTAAAAACGAGTCCTATTGAGGTGAGAAAAAAGGGCGGGCAAGTTTCTGGGGAGAGAGAGATTTGTGTTCTGAATGAATCAGAGGTTAATAATTTTAAGGGGCCTTTTGTTAATGAAGTGTGAACAGTGTGAGTCGAGCTGTGTCTGCGGAAGAAAAGCGTGCCTGTTAATCTCTTCCACCCCCGGAGGAACCCACCTAGCCTTTTGCCCTCCGCCAACCCTTGTTTTATTGTTAATAATTTTCCACCCCTGGTTGTCCTCGTGGATCTTGAGCCAATTATGGTAGGATGTTCCACAGACAAAGTTCTCATAAAATGCAATGAGTGGACGAACTGCTAACTCAGAATAATTATTCAGATATATAACGGTCATTAATCTCTACACACTCAGAATAATCTTGTGTCTTTTGAATTTCTGATGTCTGCCTGTTTCTCTCTCTATCTTTTTCTCCCTTCCTGTGTAAGTGTCATCTCTCTAGTTAACACTTCCATTCTTTCGCCTTTATTTCCACTGTCTATTTTTCTATATCACATTCTCTTTTTTTTTAAATTTTCTATTTTTGTTTTTGCTGTGCGTATATGCCTATTTAGCAAACCAGCTTCTCTACCTTTGTCTGTTTATTTATAGTTACCTTTCTTATATTAATCAGAGATATGCTTTTCTAATGTATCTATCAATATATGAACAACTAGAAATCAGTTTAAAATATTTGACATAAATCCCTTCATCGCGCTCTCTTTCTTTCTCTCAACTTATTACTCTGCTATTTTTCTTTCTGTTCTTTTCTGTTAGTCTGCTTTTCTACTTTTGTTTGTTTATCTAAACAGTCCGCTTTTCTAGTTCTCTCTCTCTCTCCCCCTCCCTTTTTCAGAATCTCTCTTTTTTTGTTCTAGTAACCTGCTTCTTTGTTTCTCTGTCTCTGTATTTCTCTTTCTTTCCCTCGTACCTTTCTATTCTTACTGTGCGTGTATGTATATTTGGCAAATCAGCTTCTCTATCTTTGTCTGTTTATTTATATTTATCTATCTGTATATTAGCCATAGATTTGCTTTTCTAATGTATTTATCAATATATGAAGAACTAGAAATCAGTTTAAAATATTTAACATAAACCCCTTCCTTTCCTCACTCTCACCCTCACTCTTTCTCTCTTTCTCAATTTATTACTCTGCTTTTTCTCTAGTATGCTTTTCTAATGTATCTACAATATATGAAGAATTAGAAATGTGTTTCAAATAGTTAACATAAACCGCTTTCCTTCATCGCTCTCTTTCTTTTCTCCCTCTCCCTCTCTCCCTCTCAGTTTCTCTCCTTTTCCCTTTCTCTCTCTCTCTTTTCTCCCTCTCCCTCTGTCCCTCTCAGTTTCTCTCCCACTCACTCTCTCTCTCGCTCTCTCTCTCCCTCCCCGTCTCCCTCACCCTCTCTTCTCTCTCTAATTATTACTATGATATTTTTTCCTGTTTTTTTTCTGTTCGTCTGCTTTTCTACTTTTGTTTGTCTATGTAAACACTTTCTTTTTTCTACTAACCTTCTTGTTTGTTTCTCTGTCTCTGCATTTCTCTTTTTTCCCCTCATATCTTACCTTTCTATTCTTAGTGTGCGTGTATGTTTAATTAACCCATTTGCTTTTCTGTCTACCCGACCGTTTCTGAATCGATCAATCTATTTATCTATGTAAACCTGTACCAGTCCCTCTCCCTTAGCGCTCAAAACATAGGTCTCACCTAATGTAATATCATGAACAGTACGATACTCAGACAGGTGGGTGCCCTGGTAGAAATAGAAAAAGAGAACAAACCGTCTCTTGGGTTTAAGGGCATGGTAACGAAGAGGCTTAAACAAGCCTGATGCAAAGATCAGAATCCTTATCTAAAATCCCGCC